TAGAAGGAGTTCAAATATATATAGATGACTTATTAGTTTGGGGTAAAGATAAAAACGAACATGATTTAAGATTAAAGAAGTTGTTGGAAAGAGCCAGAGAAAAGGAATGTTAAATTTAATTTAAATAAATGTAAATTTGGGCTGAATAAAGTGAAATATATGGGACATATATTTTCTAAAGATGGTTTAAAACCAGAAAACCAGATGAAGACAAAATTAAGGCTATTCTAGATATAAAACCACCAAAAAATGTGAAAGAATTAGAAACTTTTCCTAGGAATGATTACATATGTTTCTAGATTTATACCTAATGTATCAAAATTGACATCATGTTTAAGAGATTTGATGAAAAAACAAGTTATCTGGAACTGGAATGCAACACATGAAAAAGCATTTAGAAGACTAAAAGTTCAAATATATATAGATGTCTTAGTAATAAACCAGTTTTACAGTATTATGATATAAAAATGCCAGTAGTTTTATCTGTAGATGCATCTCAAGAAGGACTAGGAGCAGTCTTACTTCAGAATAATTTACTAGTAACATATGCATCTAAGGCATTAACAGATACACAGAAGAATTATGCTCAAATTGAAAAGAAAACTTTAGCTACTGTATTTGCGTGTGAGAAATTTCACCAGTATATATTTGGAAAATATATTACTGTGGAAAGTGACCATAAACCACTGGAATCAATTTTCAAAAAGCCATTAAAAATGCCCTGTAAGATTACAAAGAATGCGTATAAGATTACAGCCATATCAGTTTGAGATAAAATATAAACCAGGAAAAGAACTTTTTATAGCGGATGCATTATCAAGATCGTTCACTGATGAAGGATCTGATTTATTTGAAGGAGACATAGAAGCTCATGTTGGATTGGTTGTAGAATGCATACCAATGTCTAATGGTAAAATGGAAGTTTTTCAACTGGAAACAGAAAAAGATGAAGAACTACAAGTTTTAAGAAAACTAATTAAAACTGGATGGCCAGATGAAAAATGTATGGTTCCAGAATTGGCAAAAACATATTTTAACTTTAGAGAAGAACTATCAGAAGCAAATGGATTAATATTTAAAATTTCCTGTGTTGTTGTACCAAGAAGTTTACGAAAAGATATGTTAAGCAGAATTCATTATGGTCATTTAGGAGTAGGAAAATGCAAGATCAAAGCAAGAGAAATATTATATTGGCCAGGAATGTCGAAAGAAATTGAAGATTTGGTACTGAATTGTCAAACGTGTTTAAGTTTACAAAAAGCTAATACTAAAGAACCAATGATATCTAAAGAAATACCTAATGGTCCATGGGAAGTATTGGGAACAGACCTCTTTTACTTTGAAGGAAAGGATTATCTAATAGTTATAGATTATTTTAGCAAATATGTTGAAATTGGACATTTGGAAGATTTGTCAAGTGTAGCAGTGATAAAGCAATTGAAATCAATTTTTGCAAGACATGGTATTCTGAAAATAGTATATTCGGATAATGGTCCACAATATAATTGCAGGAAATATAAAGATTTTGCAAGAAGATGGAATTTTGAAACCAGAACTTTTAGTCCAAATTACCCACAATCGAATGGAATGGTTGAAAGACATATTCAAACTGTCAAGCGAATGTTAGAAAAAGCTGTAGTTGACAACAAGGATCCATATTTAGTATTACTGGAATATCGTAACTCTCCTATTTCAGATGAAGTTAAGTCACCTTCAGAATTGATGTTTGGAAGAAAAGTAAATGGATTGATGCCTATAAAAGCGAATTTCGTCTAAGCTAGACGATGTGAAGACCATAAACAACATTTACTGAAGAGACAAACCTTACAAAAAAGCTATTATGATAGGAATGCGAGACCGTTAAAACCAATGAAAATAGGAGATCATGTTTACATAAAAGAGAAAGGGTAAAAACTAAATGAAAAAAGGAAAATTATAGAAGAAGAAGAAAGACTACGTTCATATAGATTATAAGAACAGGTGGAAGAATTGTAGAAAGGAACAGAAGACACCTTCTTAAAGGAACTAATCAAGAAGAGTTTGCAATACAAAACAACTATGAGAATGAAGTTATAGATGAACCCGAGATACATGAAAATAGTAGGAGCACTACAAATTTAAATGTGCCTGTAAGTCCTTCAAAACCTAACAGAAGTGCTGTGTCATTAAATAGTGAAAGAGGTATAGTATCATCAAATTTTTCAAATGGACATAACTACGTTATTCAATCTGGTAGGACTGTTAAAGAAACCTTATTATTTAAAAGAATATGTTTAATTTTACTACTATTATTATTTTTTTATAAAAAAGGGAGATGTTGTATATGTAACTGTAACTGTATCTATTATTATTTTTAATCATAACTGTAATATATAGAATAGTAGATAAGCAATGTAGAATAAACGATGTTTATGTACATCTTGTAATCATCACTGAGCACATACCCAACATATATAAAATACAACACAATTGTGTCTTTTTCTTGCTTCCATGCTTTCCTTTTTGTCTCTTTCTAACGTCTTTTACTCAGGAACTTTCCGGGATTGAAACAACAGCAAAAATAACAATTAAATAGTCAAAACTACCTGGACTTTGGTATAATTGTTAGCGATGTTGCCTGCCGTATTCGTGGTTTAGTGTAGTGATTAGTAATGTTGGGCCCCATGCACGAATTCTGCAGAAGGGGCTTGATTGTGTCTGAAGTGTCTGTGCGGCACAAGGCAATTTTAAATACAGGCTAGCTAAAAGATCGCTCCAGATAGGAAGAGAGAGGTGGAAGACCCTTAGATCTGTCCCCGGGGGGATTCTGCATCGAAATTATTTCTGAACTTCCCTTTTACACAGAGTGTGCACTGCGGTGCACCCTGGGCAATCTTCTTGATGAGGAGACAGAGGGGTGTTGGCCTTTTCCGAAGGCCCTAAATTGCTAATTCGCGGCTATTTGAAACAACAACATAAAGAGTTTAACTTACTCTGTTGTTTCTATTGTGAATTGTATGACAGTAATATTAGAATAAATTCAGAATAAATTTCATTGTGGTAAGGAAAACAGGATTGAATTTGTCGTGGGCATTGACACCCACCATTTTATAAGGTCGTCTAGGGCACAGTACATCTTTAACCAGTTGTATCCCAATTTGACCACAGTATTCTACAGGGGACCGATTAATGGATTTCTCATCTCTCTTTCCCTGCCACCAAATCATTCATGATGACTTTTACCTTGGCATGTATTTTAAATGCCAGATACTGCAAAGATACTATACACTTACCCCAAACATCCAAATATCGCCTCCAGTGTTCCAACCCAATCGATGATGGCGGCAACTAACTACAGTAGGCACCACTTTATGTGATCAGGTTTGTCGACTGTTCGGATAAAATTAAACGACGAGAAAAGAATGCCCTTCGAAATAGCAGTGGTATTTAACTTATTTAATAAGAAAATATCAAGAAACATATAAATATGCATTTTCACAGTATTTAAATTAGGAAAATGCAAATTTTGTTTATATACTGTTCATAAAGTCTTTAATACAAAAGTTCATTTATGAACTGAACTTTCTGGAAATTATTAGACCGATGCTCCTGCTTTTAAAATTTTCGGAGGACATTTCTGATTAGAAGAGAACAGACCAAATGTAAAATGTATAGGAGAGAACAAACCAAATGTATAATGCAAAATTTGAAATCAGGCAAAAAAAAAAAAAAAAAAAAAAAAAAAAAAAAAAACCTTAATTTGTCTTAGATATTTTCAAGGAATTTACTGAAAAAAAAATTCTGCGGGATTTTTTCTCCTGCTGAAGAAGAAAGACTTGTGCTTATTGCCTCTGATTGAAATAGTTAATCAATATCTACGTCAAATTAATGTTTCTTTTCTGTCTAATTTTAAATGGCTGACTAAAGTCAAAATTAAGCTGCCTGGTAACTTAACCTCTCACTCTGAGATATGTGTTATATAGTAATTTTTAGAAGCTATTTCGACTTTATCTGGCGAATTCAACTTTTTTGGGGCGACTTTAGTTTCATATATTTACTCTATGAAAGTTTAATCATATTAACCGAATTGTTGATCACAGTAAATGATGTATTATTCATGTTTGCATATGCAAGCGGATGTGTCTTCGGCAAATCGATAGCAATATCTTATTGATAACATTAACCGCGATCACATTAAGCGTCGTATACTGTAAGTCATAAATATAACTAAACGAATTTAAACGATTTATAATAAATAAACCTTGCGAATAAACGTGTTCCCAAGCGCATGTCTGGAAGTAACAGCAAAACATTACTTTGCTATATTTATATCGATGATAGTTTATAAAAAATAATTAAGAAATAATATAAAGAGTTACTTTATGAAGAACATTCCTACGCTATGTATTGCAAAACTTGTTGTACTGTTACGTAATGCACAGTTGCCGTAAGAGAGCTTTCCAAAGCGGAGTTTAGGTTTTCCAGAAAGTGGCAAGGAAAGGAAGGGATGCCAGAATTGGCGTGAAATCGTCCATCTGGCGGCATTGGCGATATACCATAGACGGAGCGAGAGCATTCTAGAACGAATTCTTACCAATTTTACCGATTAAAATATAATTAATATTACGATTAAAATATTTCTCGAAGGTAGGCCAAAAGCTATATATATCCTGCTTCTACACTGTACACGGATTAGGAGAGTATCGTGAGGAGCATCTTGAGTATGTTTAGTTCAGTAGTAATGTTTTGAGTTCAGAGAATAGCTTGAGAGCGACCGAACCGAGTCGGGAGCTGTACTTTAGTGCTTTGCAGTGAAACTGTCTTCACGGTTGTAGCCTGAAGGCTGTGTTGCTGATAATTTCAGCATGTTTAACGCAGTCTTTTCGACGACTGTAAACGTGTTTTTGGAACTGTCCTGAGAAATACTGGCCAAAAAGTTGATTTTGCTTTGCTATCAATCACTCCGAATCCGCGAACCGGTAGAAGGTAAAGTATTGATTAAATAAAATTTATCTACTTACTATTGGGCCTTCTGTTTTCCATATTCGAATAACAGACTGCAGATACTTTTTACGATGATTTAGAACCTTCGTCATTGAGTCATGGCCTCTGTAAATGGAGGATATTGCCTCAGAGTCTGATATTTCAAGAGAAGAGTATCCACATTTATCAGAGCCTAAAAATCCTCGCTGAGATTCGAGAAAAAGAAATATAAAAAATAAAAATAAAAAATAAAAAAATTAAACACACTGTGCAAAATTCATCATTAAAAAGTTTGGTACTTTCTCATTCTTCGCACCTTTGAATATTCATGTGACAACTAATAAGTCCATATGCATATCACAAACATGTTTCAGTAGAGGTGGATTTATACGATTTATATGTAACGGTTATTTCGTTAAATAGCACCGTCTATTGTAAAATTGTAAGTGTTGACCTTTGATCATACAGACTTCCCTCCATAAAATTTCCTGTTTCTTATAAAATGCTTCTTCATACAACAACAAGTTGGCAACTTTTCGTGAAGGTGCGGATAATCAAAAAGTATCAAAGTTTTTTATTTGATATTTTTCGAATAAATAATTCTTAATAAATTAGCATATATTTCCAAATGAAAGCCGATCCGCGAATAAGATAAGATTTTGTTGTAAAAACTTAATCAAAACTGAAAAAACATGCTCAAATTGAACTTAAAATCACCATAAATCTATGAATCTCTAAATGTGCGTATAATGGGACATTAATAGCTTAGATAATCAAACGAGAGCTTTAACGTAGACCAGGGGCATCCAGGGGGTCCGTATTGGCCCCCTGGAATTGGATGAAATTTTAAAGAACATCCGTGACGAGCATGGAATCGATTTGGGGGGGATCGACAAACGAATATGCATCGGCAACTGATTGATAGTCAAGATGATTCAAGATGCCATTGTCACACTAAGTAAATAAAAAAAAATTAAAAAAATATAATTAACGAGTGATATAAAGTTGGTTTGGTTTATTTAATTATGGCAAAGCACACTAGGGCTATCTGCCTAAGGGGAGGGATGCCTTCGTGGAGGACTTTCTAAGGGAAACTGACTCGTATACACGTTACACATGGGGAAAACCACGAAAACGCCCATGCAGCCAGCCCGTTCGCGGGATTTGAACCTCGGACCGAACTACCAGTGTTCAGCGACTTTACCGATCGGCCGCAGGTGGGCCGACATAAAGTCGATATAAAGATATTGATGTACAGTTGTATGATGTAGTAAGGAAGAAATCATATAAAATAAATGTAAGGGAAAAATAGCAAAGGGAAAAAATAGCAAAATTATTTAATATATTTTAAAATAAAGGATATTTTTTTAAATACACGAATTTTTTATGCGATAAGTGCAATATAAAGAAATAAAACTCAATAATACAAGAAAACATGAAAAAACAAATACGAAGAGCGCAAAACTAGAATAAAAAAAAGAGAAACAGGTGGAAAATTCATGAATAAGGCGATTTAAAAATTAAATTAACAGTTTTATGTCAAATATTACAAAACTTGCTTCAATGCACCATTTGGAGCCATCACATTATTTAAACTAGAATTTTTGTATGATCAGAATCTGTGACTAGTGTCTCTGAAAAATTGTTTACATTTGTTAAATTAAAAATGATAATAATAATAAAAAAAAAAAAAAAAAAAAATAGATAACATAAATATACTCAACTATTTTTTAAATCTTTTGTTCCTATTCTTTATAATTGTATTAAATTATTTACATGCTGTTATGTTTAGTATGACTAAGTTTTATATTGTATGTTATAAAGATTATGCTGTTTACTGTGTATTATAAAGAAAATTGTAAGGGGGTCGATGAAAAAAAGGGGTTTAGGAATTCCTGACAGACCATGAATCGATCTGAAAGTAAATGCCATCAATTTATCTTAGATCATCAAACGAGCGGGAAGGTAAGTTCCAGCAATTTAGTTTAGACAATCAAACGAGTTGAAAGTTGAGTGCCAATTCACCTTTGACTTCCATTCGAAAAATAGGTGAAATAGGGGTGAAAACTTTATGAAATGCCGTCAACAATTTCTAAATTCCTTCAAATTTTGACATGCGCATCATTTGGCGTTTCAGCAATAGCATGGCAAATCTTTCTTTGGTTCTCATTCTCATTGCCGTTGAGCAATGAAGAGTTTGTGCAGTTGTCTGACGATAAACGAAAACAGATCGCTGTGTACATGGAGAGAAGAAACTTCACTAAATATTCAAGGAGGATTTCGTGAAAATGTGTGTATGTTTGTTATAAGTTCCTTTATTCAACTTGCGGAAGAAAACGGAAATTTTGCTGGTGCAAGGATGTTTAGTATCGGTGACAGCTCCATACACAAGTGGAAGAAAAAAGTACAATAATCATTTAATATAATTCGTATTTTATACTTTTTCTTTTGATATGTTGATAATGCTTATCAATAGTTTGGAAATAACTTTTGGAAAAGATGGTATGAAGGACACCAATGCGCAAACGATAAGTAATTTTTACCATTTCGTATGTAAAAGCCCGCCAGATTACATCAAGGCGGTAGTGTTAATACAAAAGTGCACTTATAATTTCAAACTGCATTTTTAACTTTTTAGGTATTTTCTCTGTATAAGGTACATCCTTTGCTTTACGAATTAACCTGAAATGTCCATGTGCAATGTTCTTATCTTTAGGAATCATTCATTCGGAGATTGTTCCCAGATTTTCGAACAAAGCTGTACTGAATTGACAAGTGATGAGGAAAGTAATATGTGCACGGGGAGTAAATTCTTTTTCAGATAGGATGGGTTACACTCAGGCAGGTGTGAACAAGAATGTTATTCTAAATTTTCAAAAAAGGGAAAACAATTGCAGTATCAAACGTACTTCCGACCCGAAGGAATTCGCCGAATTAGACGTCAGATGTTTTCTCTTTCTCCAGTCATTTGAAGCAGTGATTTTAAAGCGAACATCGAAGGGTTTTGTAAATCACATTTGCTTTAGCTGAAATGTAGATGATATAGTGTTTCTTTCAGTAGTAAATATGGCTCTTGCCACACGAAACAAACACATTGCTGGTTTCAAATGTGAAGTCATTCAATTTGTCAAAAGGGAAATCGTGTTGCAGCAAGAATGTTTGGTGAATGCGTCGCACGTGAGTGGAAGAAAAATGAAATCATAATAATTAATATACCAAAGAATTAATATACTTTGCGTCAAGGAGTAACGAAATGGCCTGTCGCAGACGACAGTGTTGCGAAGTGCGTCCTAGAAAATCGCCAGAATGGAATTCATAGCCGGAATAGCTAATTGAAAGAGCATACGTTTGTTTGTCTTAAACTGGGCCACAAAAACAATGCAAATGAAAGTAAAAACTTTAAAGAAACTTGAGTTGCTGCAATCGATTTATGGCACGAAATAATTTAGTTCTGCGAGGAAAAAGTAAAAGTTTGTCAAAGTTTTCCGAAAGATTTCGGCAACAAATTGATAAGTTTCCGATGTATGTTAATGACCTACGAAGGGGAAAAGTTATTTGCTGTCGCCTATTGGAAATATGGGTGAAATTACAGTAATATTTAATATGATAGGAAATAAAATAATTGATGGGATAGGAACGAAAGCAGTTCAGATAAAACCACAGGTCACGAAAAATCTCATATTGCTCAGCGGGCAGTGTACAATTAAAACCCACGGTTGTTTTTAAAAGAAAATAAATTTGTGACTTTATTCTAAACAATGCTGTGATTGGAACTGAAGATAATATTGTTACGAAATGTACAGTTTTGCACGCCGCTTGGAAGTAACGGTAATTACTTATGGCCACATCAAGTTTCTTAATTTCTTCCTTTTTCTTCAGAATAGGGCAGATCGGTGATGTCGAACGGCCTAAGTCTTCGCCAATTCCGTCACTCTTACACCACGGTTACGTTTATCTATGATTTCTTTATTAATTTCAACTGCTATGGCTTCCTGCGTTTTCTTTGCAGCACAATCTGAGACAACAGCCTTCTTGGGAGGCATAGTGAAAAAATTATTTTCACTTTAAATGTAAAAAACAATTAACTCGCAAGAACACAAACACGCAGATCAAAGACACTGAGTAATCTGACGAGGGATTCCGAGAGTCGAGCCGGATCGGGAAATAGCGCCACGCTTACCAAAGCATGGTTCATTGCTCGTTACTCGAGTCAATGCTCGTAATTAGATACGAATTTTTAGCTCATACTTTCCTCGTATCTCGAATTTATCGTTTATAGAGATGCTCGTATCTCGAGGTTCCACTGTATCTGGTTAGTGTACATCAGGTATAAATAAAATAAAAATATAAAAAACAAATTTTAGTTTATGACATCATTTTTTATGCTCAAGTTATTAATAAGTAATTTTTAGTTCGCATATAACCGAACCTTTAACTTCACAAACAAGAAAAGTTGTTAAAAATTCTCGCCTTATTTACTTAAATGTATGGTAATTTTTAATAAACTATTTTCTAATAGGGAAAAAAAAAAAAAAAAAAAAAAAAAAAAAAAAAAAAAAAAAAAAAAACTACTGACCGGTAAAAAATCTTCCAGTTCTATGCCAAGTGATTTACTTCTGGCTTGCTGGATAAGTTCCATTTCGCATTTCTGGCCCAAATCCGGAAATGATAAGCTATGCGAATTTCTTAAAGGCTCCTTTTGTCTAGATGGCAACACACTCTGCTCCGCAGTATCTACAGAACTTTCAGACGCTACATCTTTCTCGTAATTGTATGGATGGGTTACAGCTGTTGGCAGTGCTAACATCGCTGGTTTTCCTTGTACGCTAGTTATTTTGTATGTACAGTTAAAAGGATTTGTACCCTTAATTTCTCCAGGATAATGTTCATCCAGTGGTGGCAGAAAAGTTGAAAGATCCACTCCCAGAACTTGAGTTTTGGAGAAATCAAGGTCAGAGTTAATACTGGAATCTAAGGAAAAAGAACGTATCTAGTTAAGATTTTGATTAACAGTCTAAGTCAAAGAATATTATGTATTTTGCGAAAGACGTAGTGATTAGTTTCCATGCAACTCAGTGAAAGAGTTCTGAATATTTGTTCAGTGAAAAAGTCTCTAATTTTTTTAGTGTTAAAATCCGACATTGTAAATTTCTTCACCTTTAGAGTAGAATCTATGATATTTGTTCATATTCTAAGGTGTATTTTGGCAGTATGGGTGAAACGATTGGATTTACATTAGTGTCCGCCGAAAACATCGCAGACGGAAACGACACTGAGAAAACAACGTAAGGTTTGAACGTCGTCGTACAAAACACCGTGGGAAAAACGAAAGCAAGTAGGAAACTTCTCAGTTATGAAACATCGCGGTACAAAACATAGTCATCGGTAACAAAGCGGTTACAAAACATCGCATGACAATCGCATTTAAAACACCATTGTTGAAAATATCGTGGTAAAAATTAAAGCACCTACAAATCATCGCATGACGATAGCATCGCGGACATGAATTTTCGGGGCTTAAAAATTTGCATATTATCATAATGATTTGTGAGTGCAAAATGGAACGAGGGATACTTTTGCTTTCATATTTTTAAATTAATTAATAAATTATTGCTGTAAAAATAATTACGAAATTTAAGCGTTGAAAAAATTGAGAATGAGTAAGAAAATAATGCTAGATACAACAGTTATGGGAATGCCACAAGCTGATGCTGCAAGACGTCACAATTTCTCTCGTAGTGTGGTCCACCGACTATGGAATCAGTTTGAATCCGGGTAAAGACATGTTCCAGGTAGACCTACATTTACAACAACTGCGGGAAACCGTTATTTAGCTTTTTTGGCCCGAAAGAGGAGTAACATTCTGTGCCTCAGCTCATGGCAGACCATTTAGCGGCAACAGGAACAAGAATCTCAGCTGCTACAGCGCGCAGACGCCTGATCAATGCAGGTGAAGACGACCAGCTGTTTGTGTCCCCTTGACCCGAGGACACAGAAGTGCCCGCTTATATTGGGCAACAGAACAAATCTCCTGGACCAGTCAACAATGGGCATCTGTTCTCTTCACAGACGAGTCCAGGTTCACACTGGAGAGTGATTCAGGTTGTCAGCTGAACTGGAGAGAACAACGCACGAGACACAACCACACTGGGGAAAGAAACAGTTACAGAGGTGGTGGAATAATGGTTTGGGCTGGGATCTCTCTCGGTGGTCACACTGACCTGCATGTGTTCCACGAAGGAACTTTGATCGGTACGAGATATCGAGACGAGATCCTTGATGAATAGGTCTGCCCAAATGATGCTGCTATTGGTCCTTAATTTCTTCTGATGGACGACAATGCTCGACCGCACTGAGCTCGGGTTGCTGAAGAGTATTTTGAGGGTCATGGTATGGAGCGGATGGAATGGCCAACTCAATCCCCAGACCTAAATCCGATACAGTATCTTTAGGACTACCTTAGGAGACAGGTTGCTGCTTTAAGTTCTCCTCCATGGTCGCTAGATGAGCTTGAACAAGGAATACTCCGTGTCGAGTCGTTGCTTTCCATTTTACTGACTGACAACTTAATCGACAGTCAAGACAATATCGACAGACCTTCTCTGCCAAGAGTGCAAGTTTTTGTTGTAATTCATGCTTGTGTTGAACTTTAGAAACATTCTATGTCGCATTCATTAAAGAACTGCTTAGTAAACGTGTTTTCTAAATTTCTGGTTTCTGTGTTGCTTCATTTCCAAATTAGACCAAAAAATCATGCTGTTCTTTACCTTTTGGAGGGTAGTGTATATTAGCGTGAAATGATACTTACTATCTATGCAATGGACGCTTTCTAAATATTCTTGTCTTCCAATAAATTGAGAATTATCATCATCATCCAGATCTCCGCAGATGTCTTCGTATAAGCTGCATGAGAGACATAATACATTCATGCTTTCATATAAATATATATTTAATTCTTATATGCACATTTATATTAAAAAATTACAGGATGCCGAGAGAAAAGTGGTGGAGAGGAAAGTCACGTATATCGAAATCAAAGTGTTTATTACTTTGTGGATTTCATAGATGAAACGGAGAACTCATAAAGCTTTGGTACACCTTTGTGTGAGCGTCATTTGCAGCCCAAGCTATGGACAAACGACGTTCTGTCTTATTCCTCACGTTTGAAAGCATCATTGGGGTGATTTAGTCCTATCGTTTTCGTAATAAGGGCTCCTAATTGGAAAGAGCTTACGTGCGCTCATCACCAGTCTTTCAGGAGAACAAACCCTTTAGAGTTCTTTCCAGCTATGTAAACCACAATGCAATAGACACATTGATCTCGGATATAAGAGTCGCTCGTTTTTATCGCGTCGTTTCCGGAATAATATCAGAAATTATTTTTATACTTAAATTATAAATGAAAACCATTATTTGAATAATAACGTTTGGGTAAGCATATAGAGAATATAAGTACTAAGACAGCAAGATAAATAGTCATACTTATAGAATTAAAGTGTACCACAAAACCCAAGTGTTTATTCTTGATACGACAAGAGTACACGATACCGAACCCCTTATTTTCTTTAATTTTGCCTCCTTATTTTTTTACATTTCATAGATGATTAGGACGGGGGAAAACCGAAAGCACCCAGAATACCAAATCTAACTTAATGATAAATTATTATCTGGCATTTTCAACTCTGAAACTACATGTATAGATTAAACAGATTTTAAAGAAAGATATACAGAAATACAGAAATCGTGAGCAGAAATCAAAACTTTCTCATCACTAGATATTATTAATTACTCATCTGACTGCAAATGACAATCGTAGTAGTATAGACTTCGTGTTAAACTTAAAAATGTCTTTTTTCAGGGCACTAGACCTGACAGAAGATGATTTCAGTGATTATACTGATTCCGAATAATTTATAAAATTCCAGCCTGTTATTCCAACCAGGAGAAGTATGTTCACTCTCTGACTCAGACAATAAACAAGGCTTAACACGGTAGAAACAGCAAAGAGCTGAGGAAAACCTTGCTAGTATAATCTAATCCGGATTCATGGAGTGGATAAAAATTCGGAGGCGTTAAGAAAGAGCTCTAACTTACGCGGTGAGAGTGAAGAGGAAGCCCTGTTGAAAAAGCAACACATGGACGATTCGGATGTACTCATAAAAAAACATGATGATGATAAGTGGAAGATCTTCCGTAATCCCGCTAAGACATCTGAAACTTTGGAGCCGATAGACAATTCTTAGGCAACCAGGCAGAACAAAAGCTAGAAAATGAAGAAACGAAAAATGAAAAACTACCGTCGATTGTGTTTGATCAAAACTCAATAGAGTAGCTCAAATTTGATGAAATTTTCCATGAAATCTGCGATGATGATTCGGAAGAGCATATGAAAATCTTTTTATACCTAAAAATCGATGGACTTCCGGAAGATGAGCAAAACGCTGCAGGATAGCAACATTCCGTTATATAGCTACCCACCTACTGAATGGAAAACATATTCGAGTGGTATTGAAGAACCTGCCCACGTCTGCTAATGAAAAAGCAATCTTCCAGAATCTGGTAAAAATTCCCCATAGTCAAGGAGAAACAATCTCAGGAACTAGAAACAGAACTGCAGAGAACCTTCCTATATGTAAGTGTGCGCACTAGGAACTACTCCTCACAAGAAAAAAACAACTCAGTGCTGCAGATGTCAGGAATTGGGGCATACCCTGAACTTATGTAATAGATCAGAACGTTGCCGTAAATGGATCAAGGGCATAGAAGTAGACTGTGCCTAAAAAAACCTGAGTAAAGAACCCCCCTGTATTTTCTGATTCGAGGAACCTGTGAGAAGCTATCATGGGTGTAACGCCCACTTAAAAAAGTTTGAAAGAAAGAAAATCCCAAGAAAACCTATAGTTCCAGTTCTTGAGATGAAGGAATTTCCAGCTTCTAGTAAAAGTGAAGAAAATCCGGAAAGGCCCAAAAGAGGCCTCTCTACAACGAAACATTGAAGGACAAAATGGATCCACCCCCCGGAGGATTCAAATGACGTTTTCAACTGGTCACTCGATGAAAAAATTCACAAGTTCCTAGGAAAGATTGTACTTCATATCAACAAAATAAAGGAAGCTAAGTAACCAGCCGAAAAACTGCAAGCGTGCGATGATGCTCACAGTTCGCTGAAAACAAAGATTAAACAAAATATCTACTTCTTCAAAATTCCTAGACCTAAAAGTGTTAGGGTTTTGCATTTTCAAAGATTTTAGTGATTTCGTTGTTTCTCTTTTAAATTCGAACTTTTGGACATCATTCATATTATTATTTTCATTTGTTATCATTTTATGTCTCTTCTCATTTCTGTGGCGTTTCCTCGCCAGGATGTAAACCAGTTAGGGTGAACAAGAGTGTATTTAAACTGAAGTACGAAAGGTTTATTAATTTAGAAGTCAAACAAAAAAATCGGTGTTGTATTTGCAAATTATCACAGGACTAGTTTCGATGGTTTTACCGAACCACCATCCTCAGCTGCCAAAGTGCAAAATCGCAATATAACTCATAACGTATGCGTATAATCGTAATATACGCATATTGCAAATATAACGTTGATTTTTGCTGTTTGACTGCTAAATTAATATTTGTTCGGCGTGAAATTTAACCTAAATTACGAATAGTTAGAGCGTGCTTTCGCTATTGAGAGTGCACGTTGTTAATTCTATAAGCTGCTGAACTTTGAATCTCGGCTTCGCATTCTTGAAATTATTATCTCGCCGATGTAGATTTCTGAGTCAACTTGCAATTGTTGCACTACTATTTACTTTTACATTATCTTCTTAAGGCCCTTACCACAAGTAATTGTTGACAACGTAAGCTCCTAAGTCTGTACTGTCTGTAAACTGTTGTGTTCAATAAAACAGTGTTTTACAATTTTTCTCTGTTGTGTTCATCTTCGAGTCTTTGCGAGAAGTCGCAACATACTAGACCTTCAAATAGATTTAGTTACATTGCATGTTAACAAAAAAGACGAGATCCTTTAACACTGAAACTTAAACTGGTCATGGCACTCTTACGCGGGTCAAGCTTGTCTCGTCACTTGCGATTGCATTAAACTAATTTGGATTAAATTAATGCAATCGCAATCGCATTAGTTTAATGCAATCGCAATCGCATTAATTTAATGCAATCGCAAATGAATTAATTTCTAAAATATTAAAAGAGACCGTGTTTACTAATCGATTAATAAAAGATTACCCGTTTTGAAAAAAGTTTATAGTCATACTTGAAGTGAAATATGCTTTTGCTTTTAACAATTTTTAAAGAAATTTCACACTCGTGTTAAATAGCTTCTTAATAATAAGATATGTTCAACTGAGTTATTAATCCAAAACGGACGCTAGTCCGGAATATTATATTAGTCTCAAAACGGCACATTGCTACAAAATACTTAAATGAGTTGTATCACTTTTCAGATTGTTGTTCTGTATTATATTTAAAGAAATTAAATAATGAAGAATCTGCATACATGTTTCTCACATTTTGGAAAAACAACGGTACCAAAGCCGTCAAATTTTGAATAACGTGTACATTTCAACCCGAATATGGGAATCTGGAAGACCAAATTTGGAATTTGGGTTTTGTTTATTATCTACTTCCTATTTTGTAAAACTTTGAAGAATTTTTGATTAATACACCCAGCGGTTTGAAAGCGAGCAGTGGTAACACTATGAAAAAAATAATCTCCAGCGCGCGAGACTCTCTATCGGAAACTGTTATTAATTTAGCTGTTGAATCGACTTTTATGTGGCGTAAAGGCCAAGAATATGATGTTTAATAAATCAATGCACAAAACGTTTGTAATAAAAGAAACAAGAAACAATTTTGTAAAGCTTATCTTAAGTAAAATCTGGACACTGATCCGATAAAATGAGAAAAGACTGAAAAAAAAAATAAATAAATAAAAACCCAGAAAAGTGTACGCCAGCAGTTAACGCTACACCGGGAATTCTGTACGTATACTGCTATCTTACTTTTATACTATTTGTATATAATTTTGCTGAAAAAAAAAGAAGATTAGTAGGAATGAGTGCAACAGCAGACTGGTAGATTGCGAGCTCAGTGAGAGAGTAAGAAACCTTAACAAATTCTTTTGGGCATCCGTTAAAATTTGAAACCTTTCAGATTTCTTTCCCTTTTTTAAAACTTCTTTTAACTCTGTGTTGGTTTTTACTAACAACTGTAAATGTCCGTTTCACTTTTCAAACCATTGCCACCAAATGTTAGAGTCCTGCATTATATTTGAAGAAATTAAATAATGAGAAATCTGCATAAATGTATGTCTATTTCTCGCATTTTGATAAAACAACGGTACAGAGAGCCATCTAATTTTGAATGACGTAATCCTACTGCGAATATGGGCATGTGGAAGCTTAAATTCGAAATTTGGGATTTGTTGTATTATGGATTTCATATTTTGTAAAACTTTAACGAATTTTTGAGTAACAAATTCAACGATTGGACTTTATTTAAATTTTTAAATGAATGGTATTTTTCCTAGTAGGTTTTATTCTCTGTTGAGAGTACGCTCTCAAAATTATTCCAGTTTGCACAAAACATTTAATGGATTTTTTTACACCTATATATACATATTTCGATGCAATGTTACAGTAGGAAATTTTTGGGAAGCATGATTAATTAATAGGTACAGATTACAAGAGCATTGCGTTACAAAGAGATCAAATAATATATCCCAATGTTTCTTAAAACGATCTTGAAACACTCGTCTTCCGAGTAAATTACTGAAATCTAGTCATAAAACTATTAAATGAAATGACGGTATGTAGATTAGCTGCTATTCGTTATCGAACAATCTCTTATTATATCACCACTGGGGAAGCTCGATCTGATTACCCAAAATTAGCACA